TAAGACTTGGTCATATTAACCCTAGGAGGATTCAAAGGTTGGTAGCAGACGGGCCTGTGGGGTCGTTAGAAGTTGAGGCTTTTTCAACTTGTGAGTCTTGGCTGGAAGGTAAAATGACTAAGAGAACTTTTAGTTCAAAGGGGCATAAACGCGAAGATGTGTTAGGGCTAGTTCATTCCGATCTATGTGGTCCTATGAGTATTCAAGCGAGAGGTGGTTTCGAGTACTTCGTTACGTTTATCGATGATTACTTGAGATATGGGTACATTTTATTTCTGCACCGCAAGTCTGAATGCTTTGAGAAGTTCTTGGAGTATAAGGCAGTTGTGGAAAAGCAGTTAGGAAAAAGTATCAAGTCATTACGATCGGATCGTGGTGGCGAATATCTCTCGAATGAATTTAGGAGCTACTTGACGGATAATGGGATTACGTCCCAGCTGACTGCGCCTGGCACGCCTCAGCAGAATGGCGTAGCAGAACGGAGGAACAGGACTCTTATGGAAATGGTTAGGGCAATGATGAGTTATAGTACATTACCAGATTCGTTTTGGGGATATTCCCTAGAAACAACAGTATACATTCTGAATAGAGTACCTTCTAAATCAGTACCATCTACCCCATTGGAGTTGTGGTCTGGGCATAAGCCTAGTCTAAGACATCTCAGGATTTGGGGTAGCCCAGCACATGTGCTAAGAACTAATACTGATAAGTCGGAACCAAGATCAGAAGTAAGGCTGTTTGTGGGATATTCTAAGGAAACGAAAGGTGGTCTATTTTATAGTCCCGAGGACCAGAAAGTAATCGTTAGCACGAATGCTAGGTTCTTGGAAGAAGACTATGTCTTAGATCATAAGCCCAGTAGTAGACATGTTCTTGAGGAGTTAAAGGGAGTGAGTACTTCAATACTGAGTGCGCTAGATGTTACACCACAAAGTACTGCAACACGTATCGCTGATGATGCACCTGAGCAGGTAGTACCTCGTCGTAGTGGGAAGGTTGTCCGGAAACCCGAACGGTTCATGGGTCTGGGAGAGTCTTCTGAGGCTGTCCCGGACGTTCTTGAAACTAAACCATGGACATACAATGAGGCACTCCAAGATCGGGACGCAGAGTCTTGGCATAAGGCGATGAAGTCTGAATTAGAGTCAATGGACACTAATCAGGTCTGGGATCTTGTAGAGCCACCCAGTGGCGTTCGAGCCATTGGATGCAAGTGGGTCTATAAGAGAAAGAGAGGATCAGATGGGAAGGTTGAGACCTTGAAAGCTAGGCTTGTTGCGAAAGGGCACTCAGAAAGAAGGGATCGATTATGAGGAAACTTTTTCGCCGGTAGCCATGCTCA